TTCTTTGTTTTTTTTTTGGCATTGTTTTTTTAAAAAAAAAAAGAGATTAGGTTTTTTGATCTAGATGGATCCGCATATTCGACTTACAAAAAAAGGATGATCCTATAGATCTTATTTAAAGCTGAGAATATCAATTGATTCATCATTACCGAAAAGTTGTGACTTAATAATTTGTTAATTAGAACTCATCTGAGGATATTTGTATAAAAATGGCATAGAAGATCATTGATGTAGTGACCTGATTTTGCTAGAAACCCCATATTAATTAGAAAAAAATCTATTGCTTCCTAAATTATATCTATCTACATAACTAGAATGACGACGGGTTTCAGATCAATAATCACACCATTATCCTTTTTTAAAATAAATAGAAACAGCTTCAAGTCTCCCTATTTTAAAAAAATATTCACTCAATTTGCCTTTCCTTCTGAAATGGTTTTTCGTATTTTTTTGACCTGTAATAAATGAGTTGCTTGTTATTATTTTTTTTCTTGTACAACACTACGTGCCTGATCATATTAACGCGAACCTTGGAGGCTGATTGGTGTGATTTCTCTGTTTAGGTAATGATTTACGAAGACTAATTATACAAAAGTCACATGAATTTTTCAAATGCACTTATCTTTAATGGCTACATTACTGATCACTAAAGCAAAAGGTCATCCCGGTTATAAAGAGAGTGCAATTGAGTTATTTTTGGTGATGAGTTGATACAGTCTAAGCTCTATATACCGAACTCCCTGCCCTTTATTATTATATGTAATTTTTCTGCTTTTGTTCATTATATAAAGTGTTTACTAATATGTTCGTTATGTTCGTTATACAGAGAGAAATTAATTATAAAAAATTGAATCGGGGACAAAAGAGAAGTTCGCTTTAGAGAAATATTACTTATTATTTGTTATAAAAGGTTCAGTTTCAACATCCATTTAAGGAAACAGTAAACAATCAGGTTCTGGTATTCCTTCTTTGAAGTCTCGAATAAAAGCAATGTTCCAATAAAGAATCAGGAATACCTTTAAAATCCTTAATCATTTTTTCAACATCAAAAATGGTGTTTCTATCAGTCATATAAAGTTCCATAATTTTATCAGTTTGCATTTCAACAAAGTCTCCTTTCTATTGTAATCATTAAAAAAAAATTCGATTTTACCAACATTGCATGTGTACATTTTTCTTCCCCTTCTATAAACAATAAAATGCATTTCACAAGTATTTTGCACTTTTAATCCTAACTTTTCAAGAGGATTAGTATATAAAGCCTACAGTTATATTTTTTTTTCTTTTCAAAGATTTTCTTCGATAGTAGTGTCCAATGTTACACGTGCTTCGATATGTAGAAGAGAGCCTTAACACGAATAGAAAAAACTGGAGGGAGGTTTGGCACAGGAATTAAACGCATTCTTTCTTTCGTAAAGTTCATTTTTATTGTATTAATATATATATTAATTATAAAAATAATAATTCATGAAAATCAAGGTATATACAGTATATATTATTATGGGAAAACCCCTCTTAAGTTAAAATATTAGCTTAATAAAAAAAAAATGGAGAATTTTATCCTGGTCCTGTCTTAAAGAAAATTTTTTTTACTTTTTTTTGAAAAAAAAAAAAATCAATCGAGCATTAATAAACATTAAAGATGGATGGTACAATAAACAGAGACTATTTTTTGTGTTGATGCCTTATTTTTTCAAATAAATGTGGCTTTTTACATTATACAAGATTCTTTATCAAATGATTGGTATACATTTGGGTAATTGTTATTAATGTTAACGTCAATGATAAGAAATGCCTGGGGCGAAAAAAACAACGCAACTATTGGTGCTTAGACAATTTGAAAACATCTCGATATGCAACATTTGATCATTGGATGGAAACTTATAAATGCTAAAGTGTATTTCTTCAGGGCTCAAATATTAAAACATTACAATTACTCTCTTATTCCCCACACACATAAGGCTAATATGACCTGGGCCTCAATGATACGATGATGCAATTAAATCGTAGCTCAGAGGTTTATCGAAATGGCAACATTGTTAAAGGAGACTTCCAAAGCCTCTCGCTTGTCCAAAGGCTTCCGACGCATCGGAGGTCTCACCCGTGAAAAAATTCCATAGATATAAAGTGTGTGAGAGTACATGACTGGATTTTTCGATGGAGAAAATTTTCGTATGATCAAGGTTGGCGTTGGACATAATTATTATTATCCTACACCTCTAGATCCGAATCCAACAACCTTCCATTTCAATCACCAATTTAACCACTATCATCTGACTTACCATCATCAAGAACTCCAAGTCATAATACACCTTACAACTCCAATCTTGCTGTCTATGACTTATTCATTTTACTTTTTTGGGAATGGTTTTAAGGAGGAATTCTACAATTTATAATTGGGAGAGAAATAATTTTTGAGAGAATTTTGGAATAGAATTATTATATTTATTATTTATTTATTATTTATTTATTATTTATTTATTTTGGTTCCATAAGTTTCATTTCTTACTTATTTGGATATAACATTAACACATTACATAATAATAATCAAAATTATTCACGTCTGAGGGGAAAAAAGACAAGTAATAATTTATTTATTTGGCCACTCTGGCGTAAATCTATTATTACAATTGCTAATATTGGTAGTACCACCTTCATTTTTTTTTCTTTTTCTCTATCCCTTTTATAATTCTTTTTTTGTTTTTTTTTTTTTGTAGTGAAGGCAGCAATTCCCTTTCATTCTCTATATAGCACACAATTTGTGGATTACCAAATGAAAAAAATATGGATTCAGCTAAAGAATTGTTTGGAATCCTCCCACACCTTTTAAAATTTCCATCAAGTTTGATTATTTTATCAATCTTTTTGTTGATATCATAGAGTTGATTTTTACAGGTTTGATAAGATAGTAAGTAGAATAGTTGGTCCAATCAACAATCCACAAAAAAATAGGTTTTTTTTATAATGCTGATTTTGATTTGAGTTTTGCTTTAAAAATGTAAAATAGCAGTAAGAATTACGACAATGATTCTTTTTAATATCATTGGTAAAAAAAAAATCATATTTCAATTTTAAATTTTACGGAATTTTCTCGCGAAAAATAAAAAATGGGCTGTAATTTCTTGTGATATCATAAATGTTCAACTTTGTCCGGCTTTTCCATTTAATCCATTTTTGTCATTATTAATAACAATGAATAGATTAGGTTTTTTTATATATTTTGAGTAAAAATTGTTACACATGTTTTCAAACATAAAGTAAATATTTCAAGCCTTTCTACTAGATCCAATTTCTTTGCCGATTATATAATCTTTGTATTATTTATTTAAATAAAAATTTGGTAGTCCATATTAATATTTTGCATAAAGGTGCAGCACGAAATTTTTATTACACGATAATCACGTGCAAGTCACGGGCGTTCAGTGGTTTACGGGAATGAAAATTGCAGTGCAAAGTGTAGAGGATCACCACGCGCCGAACTTGGAAGGATCATTTAAACTAACGTTAAACTATAAATTAAAGTTTTAAGAAAATAAATTAAAATTAAATTAACCAGTTGGTTACGTGCATTTACATCTTATTGTTAATTTCGCTAATATCATTTAAAAATCGTTCTCTTAATATACAATTTATTGAATATGTTTCCGCTCTTCTTCTTTTTAGTATTTTTAGCATATTTGGAACAGGGTTAGAGATTCACCTTTTCAAAGGAGATACAGTAGACATTTAACAATACAAAAGGCCCCAATATTATCAACGAGCTTAATTATCGAAACATCAAGATTACTTTGTAATATATAAAATTTGATTTATTTATCAATTAAGAGAACATATATTTGTAAAAGATATTTATGTATTTGAAAAGTAAAAAAAAAAAAAACTAATACAATTTTTTTATTTTTATCATTCTTACAAGGAAATTATTTTTTTTCGCATTCACAACTTCCAGCAGCGCAGCTACAGCCTGAAGCACAATTGCAGGTACTAAGTAGTAGTAGTAGTAGTAATAATAATAATAATAGCAAGAAGAAATTAAATTAATCTTTTAAAGAAAATAAATCTTTAGATTGATTAATCGCAATAATAAAATATTATTGTTTACCATTCTGGTTCAGTTTCGATTTTTTGATCAACGAAAATTTTTTGTTTGTCAGCAGTTGACTTGGTATTAGTACTTCCACAAGTACAAGAGTTAGGTTCACATTGGCAGGTATCGTTACAATTGCAATTACTACCGCAAGAAGACATTTTTTGATTTTATGATTTATTTATTTTTTAAATTGTTATTTATTCAGTACAAGTGTGAATTGATTAATCAAAAGGATTTTTGACAGAACTATTTATAATTGTTTTTTTTTGTTATTATCATCATCACGAAAAAAAGAAATTAAAGATTTACTTTGATGATTAATTGATTTATCCAATTAATATACAAAACAGTTAAACATCAAATGTCTTTAACAAATCATTTAAATCCCTCACTCCTAATACTGATAATACTAGCGAAATTAATAGTTTTCAACTTTAATTACGACAACTGAATAAATTTAATGAATGAATGAACAAACGAATGAAAAAAAGGGATTCGGTGAGGTATTTAATTTAATATTAATTAGTTTGTCATGTTACGTGTCATGCCATGCAATAAACCTTTATTTATTCAAGATCAGTCAGTTGCTAGAATAAGCCACCTTATCGAAATTTTTTAAGGTTTTAATGTATGTAGCATGTATGTAATCTGTATGAAATTTTATTTCATTCATGTATGCACTCCATACGCAGTATGATTTCTTAGATAAGATTTATTTTCTCATGGGACATTTATTAAGAATTTCAATTATTTTATTTTTGTAGATATTTGAAAATCCCAACCTTTAAAAATATTATTAAGAACATTATCATCATCAAAATCTAACGTCGTTATCGGCATCCAACATCGTCCTATCATCATCCATAAACTTCCTATCATCCATAATTTATTCATCATCCACAATAATAATATGAATGTTGAAAATAATCGAGAGGATTGGTTACTTTGGCAAATTTCAGATTCTGCTTTACCTACTGGTGGCTTTGTCGCATCTTCAGGTTTAGAAAGTGCTATACAAACTGGTTATGTTCATGATATTCCCAGTTTATCGATATTTTTATCCTCCAGCATAGATAATTATGCATTTTCATCCCTACCATTTGTAACTGGTTCATGGAACATCGGAAACACTAATAATGAGGAGGAGGAGGAAGAGGAAGAGAAGGATAAAGATGTAATATTGAGGAAAATTATGGAATTGGATGACTTGTATGATTCCTGTACAAGCAATCATGTTGCAAAGCGTGCGTCAAAAGCTCAAGGTGTTGCAATGTTGATTTTATTTAGTAAATCGTTTAATAAAGGAGAAGGAGAAACAACAATTGTAAAAGATAAAGAAAATCAAAATAGTAATAATGATAATGACGATAATAATAATGATGATAGTAGGTTTAATGATAAAATAGTAGAAGATTTTAAATTAAATGTTAGAAAAGAATTGGCATGCGGACATTTGCCGGTGTGTTTTGGATTGGTTACTAGATATCTCGGAATAAGCCTGGGTGATTATTTATATCACTTTATTTGGTAATTTTAAAAATTTTTTTAGGTTTTTTTTTTTTTCACTAACCATTTGCTATTATATATTACTGTAATTTTTTAGAAAAAACGCAACATTTATATCTTTTTCTTTTTGCAAGAGCAATTATCTCGGCAGCGGTTCGATTGAATATAATCGGACCTTATTATTCTCAAAGAATGTTAACAGAATGCTGCCAGGTATATGTAGAAAATTCGTTGAAAAAAACTTGTAATATCAAGGTTAATGATGCATCTCAAACATCACCTTTATTAGATATTTTACAAGGAAGACACGACAAATTATATTCCAGATTATTTAATAGTTGATTGATTAATTATAACTAACAATATTAATTTATCCATTACCATATTAATTTAAAAAAATTTTCTTTATGTATAATTTTAGAAAATAAAAAATTTTTCAAATTCATCATAATCCTTGTTAATTAATAATAGCAGTAATCTCAAGATATGAAAGGTTCGTCAATGATGACGATTGATTTATTACGATAATAATAATAATAATATTCTAACGTCACTATTATTGTTGTTGTAACAATTATAGATATGGTATGATACGATAATTGCAAATTGTATGAATCAATTAATGAAATGAATGAACGTGTGTATATAAAATGAAATAGCATCGTGGTCAATCATTATTCTAAACGTTATTATTTATTGTCATAATTACAACAATAGCAGACAATAGTGATAGTTATAGTATCAATAATGATTTAATTTGTCGATTTAGTTTTCTATCAGTAAATCATATTCGGTAGTTAGCATTAACAAGCATTAATGTTATTATTGTAACTTGTTTCGCAACTACTTTGTTGATCAAGATTTAAATTTTCACGAGTGAAAAACCAGAAGGAAATTATATAGCGACAAATATTTACGTTTTACTGACTTCCAAAAAAAAAATTTATAAAGTGTGTCCGGTTAACATTAATAATAGTAATAATAAATAATTAAATTTTGCTTTGCCTTTCCATACATGTAACACGTAAAACGAAAACTGGAAAAAAAAAATGCTGCACATCATGTAACTGTTGTACAGTACTTCAGCCCATACAAAAAGATCGCTTTATTTGTATATAGAATATAGAATACAAAATGTAAAATTTAAAAATGATGATAATCTTTTTCAAAAAGAAAAAGAAAATTGTTTAATTAGAAAAAACTGCCGTATCTATCTGTTTCTATTTCTATTTTATTTAAAATATGCATGTGATAATGTAATGTTATATAGATGTGCATTTTATTTTCATAAATATTTATGTTTTATTTTATATTATTTATAAAATCTTTTAAAATCAGCCTTATAAAACCAAATTATTCGTAAAAATTCCCCTTTTTTATTTAATTATAAATTATTATTCTTTGTAAATAATTTTTAATTCAATTACCTTCAAAAAAAAGTCTTATTAAAAAAAATTTTTTTTTTTAAAAATCTCAATTTCATCTTGCATATACAATAATTATAGATAGAATCATTCATCATTATTAAACAACTTTTCGAAAGTTTTAAACACACCACACACACATTATATCCTAAAATTGATTATAATTATCTAAAATTAAAATAAACAATTTAAATAATCAATAAAATAATCCCAAAACAATGTACAATTACGCAGGCATACCAATTTCACCAACACCATCAATTAGAACCATAACCTCAATATCGTCATTTTCATCGATTAGAACTGCAGAGCCGGTTTCTGCTGATTCGTTTGTAATGATTTCCAAGGCTGACACACGTTCAACCTTTGAAACCTATGAATCTCTATTAAGCGCCTCAAAAAACTACAGAAATCAAATGATTGCCCTTTCACAAGCTGCTGCTAGTTTTGGTCAAGCATTAGAAAGAACCGCTCGTTGTAAAGGCGCAGATGAAGCTGGTTAGTGGGAGATGATTTTGGAAGAAATAATTAATTATTAGCTGGCTGGTTGACTAGCTGACTGACTTTACTTACTGATGATTGATTTTCATTGTGTTTAGGTCCTGGGTTACAAGCTGCCGCCGGTTTACATTACCTAATGTCAAATCATCAACAACTTTTGGTACTTGCCATTATTATTATTATCTAAATAAATGGCTTTGCATGTTTACATGCTCACATGCTTACATAAAATGCTTACATACATTGTTTTTTTCTTTTACCAGAGCGATACGTTCTATAAACAATTTGAAATTCCATTACTAGAAAATTTTGACGAACACAAATCAGTGATCATTGGTAATGAAGAAACTTACGAGAAATTGATGAGTGAAATGAGCAAAAAAATCAAGGAAACCGAAGCTCGAAATTTAAAAAATGGTCGCAAACGCCAAAGAGGTAAACATTGATTGATAGAATGATATGTGTATATTACGTATGCATATTATATACTATTTACTAATATAGTAATTTTTACCAAAATAATTATTTGTGTCTGTAGATCTTGGACAATTTCGTAAGGTATTTAAAAATTTTTTGTTCACCAAATTCTAAAAAAAGAATTGATTGAATCCTAATTTTTTTTTTCTAACATCATCTAATCTTTTCTATTAAAGGCTTTAAAAGATTTAACAAAACAAGTAGAGGAGCTTGAAAAATTGAAAAACGAACATTATAAACAAACTTTAGAAAATGAACAAAGGAATTTAAATTTTATTCTTTCAAAAGTTTCTTCGGTTGTAAAAACAGAAGTTAATATCTTTGAAAGAATATGTAATAAAGGAAAAGCTGATCCTTTATTAGAACAGGTAAACAACAACAGCAAATAATATGTGTATTTATGATATGTGTTTATGGCGTGTACTCACACTCATACACATTATAATTTATTCATTTGTAGATGATAACAGAAGGAAATGATCCATTTAGTTCAGGTCAAACAAAAGATCAATCTTCACTATCTCCTTCATCAATTTACAACAACAACATAACAAATGGACATTCGAGAAACAACAGCAACAATAATAGTAATGAGATTCCTTGTTGCTCACCGACATTAACAAATTTTTCATCCGAGAATCTTGGAATGTATAACTCACCAAGTAAACTTCCCCGTACAAGTCTCTTTTCTAAAGATTATAATAGATCATCTGCAAGTTCTTTATATCAAGATGGTGATGATGATGAAGATACCAATGAATTTTACTTTTATCATAACGATAATAACAGTAATAATTTCCTATCTTATAATGGTAGTGAAAACCGTTCATCACCACTAAAAATAAATAGACCAAACTTTGTTTCAAACATTAGTGATCTTGCATCGCTTTCACCAAATTCTGGCAATCCTTCCGACAACGAAGATGATGGTACCACTGTAAACAATCATCATTTTTTAAATATTTCTGGTGATTCTGATTTATTCGTTAGTAAAAGTTTTAATTTCGATTCAGAGGAAAATGGTAGTTTGGCCAACAGTTTTCACGATGTCGTAGATGGAAATATGGAAGATAAGGATTGTGATGAGAATGATAATACACCAAATCAAGCTTTCTTATGTGTTAATAACAACAAGGTTGTTGTTGATAAAGAAGAAAAATCATCACAACAATCATTTTTATCAAATACAGACACTAAACCATTATTTGGGTCAAATTCTCCTTTTATAACAAGAAGTCGTTCTTCTACAATATTTGCTTAATTTTTATTAATTAGCATTAATTTATTATTTATATATTTATATTCATTTATGTAAATTTTCAATTTATTAATATTGTTTGTAATCGCTTTTATTTTTTTCTTTCACACCTCTCTTCTATTATATATATAGATTGTACAAAAAATCCGCATTCCATCAATACAATAATACATTAATATATGATATGCTATTTATAATTCTCCTTTTTGATTTTTTTTTTCTTTTTTTTTTAAAAAAAAATTTTTATTAAGTTTAATTTATAAAAAAAAAAAATATATATTTATAATATATATACACATCACAGTTTAAAAAAAATATATATAAAATAAAAAATAAATCTAGATTTAGACGACAAAAATTGAAATTATTTTTGGGAAAAAAGTAATTGCGGTAATAATTAATATAAAATAATATCAATGGAATTTTTAAACAGTTCAAACATAATCATTTTCGGCGTTTCAGAAAGATGGAAAACACCTATGATCACCACTATGCTTTATTATTATTATGTACGTCATGTAAATAAACTTTGCCATTTGATTACGTGGACATAAAGGAATTAGTAATTCATTTACTATTTGTTAACAAATAAAAAAAAAATAATTCCAAACTCCAAAGGTTGTGCAAACTGCATAAATTTTTAAATAGTAACCCTGCAGGGCTGTCACATTATTATATAATACAAAACTGTTTTCTCCCATTTGTAATCAATCCTTTCACAAATCACCATCCCACAAAAAAAAAAGGATTAAGCCGTGGATTAATTTGAATAAGTTTTTTGATTATTATAAAATTTTCAAATATTAGTGAATTTTCTTATTTTGAAAAAAATTAGTAATTATTATTATTATATATTATTATTGTTATTATTATACATTGAATACAGTTGGTTATCTGCTATATTAATTTAATAAACATAATAAATAATTATTTAATGATAATATACTAATTAGAAAATTAAAATTAAGAGGACACTTCATTAACTGCATATTGTTGACCAAGCGATTTAACTTTTTCAATTAATGCTTTGAACGCGGCCTTTTGTTCTGCAGTTGGTTTAACTTCTGATATTGATTGTATACATCCTTCTGCACATCCTATTTATCAAAAAGGAATTTTTGTTATTATATATAAATAGTTATAATAGCAGTTGTAGTAATTTAATTAATTAATAAATACCATTACGCCATTCAAAATCTTCGGATTGAAAAGTAATAGATGTATCAAATCCATAAATATCTTCGCTAGCCTGATCACTCTCAGTAGGTAACTTTGAAAGATTTTCACGAACATCATTGGAAAATTCTTTAACTTGATTACTAAAAAAAAATATATCAACCAATTTAATTGTTTGTAATTATAATAAATAATTGAAAAATATTATTATTATTACCTGGTGACTACACCTTGTTTAGATTTAAGTTCTCTATTCACAAGAGCTGAATCGTTAACTACGCCACCATTTTCATCACCATTTATTTCTATACGTCGTCTTATCAAAAAATTATCATCACCATTATTAATGGATTCCTTATTATTTAATATATATATATATATATATATTTACACATAAGATGGATTATTATAATCACCTGACAGTTGGTGGTTTAAAACCTCCCCTAATTCCTTCGACCAACACTATACGAAAAGAACTCATTATACAGAAAGAAGAAAACTTTTTTAAATAAAAATATAAATTATAGAAAATTTAAATTCAAGCCGAGAGAATATTTTTCAACTTGCGCATCAAAAAAGTTTAAAATGCTCAATTTTAACCTTATTCGTACAAGTTCATTGATCATACGGAAATCTGTGTATGAAATCATGCATATCCTTGATGTCATGAATTTGCTTTTTAAGTTAAATTGATTAAATCTAGAACAAAATTTAATTAAATTTTTCAACTTCTTTTTTTTATGATCATTTCTTTTTCTAATCAATTTGATTGTTCGTTGATTGGCTGATTGTTTGGCGAGTGCATTTAATGATATATATATATCTAGTAAGTATAATTTTTTGAACCGAAATAGATCCAAAATTGGTTAAAAGGACTAGGATTGTCTAAATTAGGAATTTGGATGTTTTACAAAAACAAATTGCCGGCATTATAACAATAATAATTTATTGTTTTGGCCAAAAAATAACACTAACTGCTTTCTATTATATAAATTTTTGAAACAGGTGATTTCAAAAATGACATTACTAATCACCTGATTTTTAAAAATATGTTCTTTAAAAAATTGTTCGTTGTTAGTTATTATCAGTTGGGAATTTTAATTAATAAACAATAATAACCAAGACAACAATTTCCTCTCCAGAATGCATTCATTTGCTCCAACTGTTCATATGACCCAGGGCCCAGGGTTATGTTGATGAGTATATATGCGCGCGATCGGACGAATTGCTTTGCTGGATAAATTACGCATTCTAAATTCCGACTATTCCCAATTGAGTATCTCCAAAGCAAGCTTTATAAGAAGATAAAAGATTAGAAGTTATAAATTGTAATGTACTGCAGAGCTTGAGACAACCATTATAAAACTATATAAACCGATCACTTGTTCCATGATACTCGGGAATATGTATACTAAATATCTATTAAATTTTGTGTAACAAGTAATATAAAAACAATGGTGAATTAAATTTTTTTTGTATACCTAATTTGGTAACTCACGACTCGCATCAAACTGTTCCTCCTTTAAACTTTGTCGTCTTATCCAATATTATCAAGGCTTTTTACACTATTTATCAAGTGACGTTATAACCTTTATATATATATATCCATTCATTCCAGCCATAAAAAACCTGGTTTTTTTTTTTTTAATAATTATTGATTTACACGTGAATGAATGTTAATAAATTGATTAATATATTTGTCACACGAATTAATTTCACAAAATGTTCTATATATATTAATTTATTTTTTTTCAAGTGAGAAAATATTTATTGCAACGTAAAAAACAAAATCGCTTTTTAATTAAAGAGGTGAAAATAAAAGAGAAAAGAGAAAGAGAAAATGATAAAAAAAAGTCACAAAGTTAGTTCGTCTGATTCAAAATTAATCACATTAAAACTTGAAGAGAAATGTAGACTTGAAAACCAAAATAATAATAATAATATTAACAAACATGAAGGTGTGGAGGGAACAAAGGTTTGTTGTACTGGTGGTAGTTGTAGTAGTAGTAGTAGTGAAAAATTTAAAGGCAATGAGAAAGTGATTGAGAAGAGATAATAACAGAGATAATTCTATTTTTTTTTTTCGAAAATTAGGTTCGTAAAGAAGGATCAATAAAACATTTAGGAATAACATTGACAGCGTCACCTACTATACAACATACAGATTTATTGCATTACATAGCGAAAAAAGAACGCAAAGTGCTTGAATTAAGAGAAGAGTTAAAGAGAAACGAAGAGGAATTGAGTTTATTGAAGAAAAAATGGGAAACCATTTTCACAAATCAAATCATTAATAGCCCAGAGAGTCCAATAAATAACAATAAGGATAATGAAAATAATAATAATAATAACAACAATAATAATAATGCTATCACTGCTACTAATGGTGATCGTAATAAACAAGATGGAAACGGAAAAGAAAAGGAGAATGTGAATGGTGTTGGAATTGGAGAAAATGATGATGATGATCAATCAGATGACGTTGAAGTTATAAAGTTAATGAATGGATTAAGTAAGGGAATAGTGGGAGTAGTTAATGGCATAAAGAATGTAGCAGAAAGTGAAGTGTAAGTGATTAAATTAAAAAAAAAAAATGACGACGATGATTATTATTTCTTACAAGTTGTTTCTAATCTAATTTACCCACTCGTACTTTTTTTTTTTAGAACTCATGAAAAATTATTAAAGATTAGAACAGTGGTTGCAGATGTTGCAAATTATGAGCCGTAAGTTATAATATTATTATCAATTATATATAATCAATCATAATCAATCATTCAATTAATATAAATTATATATGTATAGTGTTAAACAAACAAAAAAAATGACTTTTGATTTTACATCACAAGCTTTTGACAATATCACTAAAGGATTTTCTTCAATAGCACAATCTGAAACGTAATTACTTTTATTGTTTATTTTTTTGATGGGTAAATTTGTATTGTCATCTTCCAAATAAATAACAAATTATCATTATTAGAATTAGGAATGCAAGAAGAAAGACATTGGAAACTGTTTATCAATTGAATGAAGTATTGGCTCCAACTTCTCCTCCTCCTCCTCCTATCACATCCAACAATTCCATCTATGCATCCTCGCCCATTTCTACATCACCACCACCACTACCATCTACATCCACATTTTCATCATCATCATCATCGTCATCAACATTTTCTTCTTCCTCTTCACCTTCATCTACCACTTCAACAAATCCTAATTCTCCAAAAACTCCAATACAACAAACTTGGTCACCAACAAGCCAAACTTTCGGTGTTTTCACTATACAGAATTCAAAACAATCAGATGAAATAATATCAACAACAACAACAACAAAAAGTGAAGAAAATAATGATGGTTATAATGAAGAATCATTATACATATTTAATGAATTATTTTGATTATAAATACAATTACTATAAATATTAATTTAATTTATCATTTTTTATTATTATTTATCATCCTTGATTTATTTACAATGAACAATTTAAAGAAATTTTTACTATTAGTATTCTCTAATTCAAATTTCTCTTACTGCATTTTAAGTTTTCCTTTTACATATATAAAAATATAATATTTCACGAGAAAGCGATTTTCATATCGTGTAACAAAAACCAACCACCAATCAAAATTCGAAAACTTAGTCGTGTGAGAGTAATTTATCACGCGAACTTAGGAGGCGCAGTAGCAATTCATGTGTATATAAATAAATGTTTTCCCCCCAAAAAAAAAAAGTACACGTTAATAAAATAGTGTTAATAATAAATATTTAAGGAAAATAATAATAATTATCTTTGTTATTTATATTCTCTTTTCAAATCAAAATGACTTCTGACGATAAACCAAGTTTGCCAAATCTCCGGTTACAGATCACAAAAGTAAGCCCAGAAATAAAATCAAACAAATATATTAAGCAAGTATTTTTATATGTTTTTACATTTTTTATATTTTTACCGCGTGTTTTCCTTTGACTTCATGGTTTTTATGCTCCATACATAGTCTATGCAACGATACATACATAGAATATTTTACTTTGACTAATAAATATTATACATATTTCATATAACTATTAGACATTTATCTACAGATGGCGTCTCCATATTCATATGTAATTATTTATTATTTTCTTGAATGTTGAAATTCAGATTATCATGTTTACATGACGAAATGAATATATCTGTTTTTTATT